GCCACTTGTACCAAAAAAAAAAAAATTGTACTAAAAAACTCTACTATACGCCACTGTTTGATGTTAAAGAATAAATGGGTGAAATATAATTTGAATAAATATCAAAATATTTGACATATAAAATAAAAATTATAAGTTATTACCATTTTAAACACTTCATATAAAATATCTGATGATGTGTATGTGTCACGTAAGAGGTGGGCATAGGGTTTTGTCATGTACCCGGTTATGGAGTGGGCCGGTTTTATACTCTAGATAATTTATGTTTTGGTATTGGGTCTTTTATGTTGGACTCATTTTATTATGTTTAGTTTTGGGCGTATATATATTAAACTAGTGGGCTCTCGCCTGTGCACGCACAGGCGGCCCGAGTTTAGTCTCTAATTGTGATATATTATTTGCTTTTCTGTTGATTCTAAAAATTTGCAGCTTAAAATGTGTCTAACCTTATCCATATATTTACCTGACTCGAAAAGTACATGGGACACAATAGGGACAATCGGTAGACCTATTACGAATAGGAGAAGTGAAGATGTAGCAAATCTATATTCAAACATCCAACTAACATGTCCAATTAACTAAGAAGATGGTAAACATCCAAATTGTGAATTTCAAAGCCTGGCTTTTTCTCAAGTGCCAACTCTATGTACACGGTTTTTGTTTCTTGCAATTACATCACTACTTTCATCAGTAAATCCTCATCCATAACAAACCTTATTCTCATTCATCCCAAATACCATAACCTTCATTCCTCAATAAAAAAAGTATATAATTAAAAAACGCGACCTCTTCTCAATCTCAAAATTCGTTAAAAAAAATGAGATTGTAATTTCAAAAAATATGAAATTTACTGATCCAGGCTAGGCTATACAAATCAATACATTATTCCTAAAACACGTATAATTTTCCAAGAAACCCTAGAATCTGGATCAAGCTATAAAAAGCTCAGGAATTTTACACAATAAAGCGACAAGAATCACGCATTTCTCCAAGCCTGTACAAAATCACATCATACCGGAGTCGTTCCAACAAACAGAAGAGCATTTACACATTTAAAAAGCATATTATGACAGAAAAACTCTGCGAGATCATCAGCCAAATGAAATATCTCTCGTATCGGGGACTTCCCTTCAATAACCCTTGCAAGTGTACGAATCGTGAGATCACTAAGGGTCCTCAAGTGTAGGCTATCAGCAGCCAACGTTAGCTCACAAATCCGTTTGGTACACATCTAAACAAATTTCTTATTGAATATCTTTCTCTCCTGCATTATATTATAGTATAAGTGAGATCAAGTGTCGGTCATTTTTTATCCTTCATATAAAATATAATCATTTATGGGTACACTAATCAAGTCAAGATGAAAATAATAAAGAAAATGAAAATGGAGGAAGAACATAAACTTAAATTCCAGGATTGATTAATAACCTTGTTAGAGGGCGTTAATAACCTTGTTAGAGCTCCTGGTACTTGATGGAACAGATAGTAGTAAAAGATCAGCCTCAATGTAGGAGGATTAACCCATGGTGGAAGAGAAATTGGATAAGTTTGAGAAGATGCCACGCCAGATCGGATTTCTCGACATATAAATGGACAAAACATGGCAACCACTCCCTTCACTTACTGGATTGAACCATCACAAGTTTGAAGCCAAACATAAGCCTTCAGCAGCTGGCAGTGCTCAACACAACATTAAAGTTAGATAAGTAGAAATTAAAATGTAGAAAGATAAGATGTAAAAATTAAAATAAAAAAATTGTAACATATTTTATACAATGCATGGATAATAACCAATAACTCTTAAATATTACAATCGATAGTACTTTAAAATAGGAAATCACTGGCAGAATAGTGGGTTCCTTGCAGATATGTGCTCTCTATTTATTAACATATGGTTAAAAGAATTTGAATATATGAAAATTTTGAAATACTACTACCAAAGTCCAACAAATTTTAAATTACATCGACACCAACTAATAGATGAATGAATGGATAGTATAGGTACAACTTCATGATATAAGGTAATTGGAAAAGAAACATTATGCTAGCAGACTAACTCAAAATTCATCTACACAAATAACATGCAGAAGATCACCACTACTGATCATGAACAATACCTCAGGTTTATTCCACTGTTACTTTCTATCATGGTATAACAGACATGTCGGTGCCGAACTCGATATCCAAGAAACCATAAGCCTTGGCAGCTGTTGCTACAACCAAAAGATATCTACAAAAATATGACATTCGATTGTAAATAAACACATTTTGTTTTTATTTTTTAAGTTATAGTTTTAAAAATCTCCCACAATACAACGATTTTTGCTAGCACGGTAAAAAGTTGTTGCTCATAATGGTAACTGAACAAATAGGATTATAAGGGTCCAAAACATAAATACAGAAGATTTTCTCAATTTAACAGCTGCAGGTACACGTAATTAAAACAAATTTGGGATTGACAAAGTAAAATGAAAGAAATGAGTTTACCTTCTAATATCACCATCTTTTCCTGAACCTTGAGAACAATCCATGAAGACAACGGCTGAACCAATATCGAAGACAAAGTAGTTAACCTTCTTGTTTGATTTCGACATTAACGTCATCATATACTTTTAAGTACTGAATTAGATATGCATATGCATGATTAAGCAGTAAAGGAGCAGAGGAAAATAATCATATTGCTTAATAAAAAGAACATGACAACTCTATCAAATGTAAAAAATAATTGACCGATTGTTTAATAAAACATAAAATCAATTTATAAAAGTTATCAGGTTTTTAGGTTTCAGATATCTGATTTGTACCTTTTAAAG